AACATGTGATTAGCCGCCCAGCTCATTTTATTTAGTCTACTAGTTTWAAGACAAATAACAGTGTCAAAGTTGCTTGATTTTCATACAAATTCAAACGCGCGCCCACCATTTTCTGAAATAATGACGTCACGCTGTCAAATCAGCTGTTCGCTTTGCATTACCTACTATCACTCAATCGTGGTCCCTCAAATATTTTACTGGCCTGCTACAAAGGGAACATTTCGATTAATAGAACGTGCGTACATCTGGTGTCTGGACTTTAGCTTTTAGGCAATGCTCTCTTTCACTCACACGCAAACTCATTCCTCTCTCTTTCTGTCTCAATTACAGCTATCGCGCATATTTGACAGCAAGTACTATGTGCCACCCCATATAACCAGCTTCTATGTAGATCTGGCAAAGAATACAGAATTCGAGGTGCATAATGGCCTCTTTCGACAGAATCGTGTCAATATGCTAATGATCGAGGGGCATAATGACAGCAATCAAGTGGAGTTAACGGCAAATTTTCTAGGTGGAAATCAGGCTGGCTATCCTGATGTGCAAATACACGGCGTGGGTCACTCATTTCTACGCCCCGAAGCTTTCTCAAGTGAGTGCGACAAGAGGAATAAATATATACATACTATAATATATATTTAACTGATGCAAAGCTTTTATGAATAAGTTACAGAAATACAATTACTAAAGCTTTATAATTATTTATTATTTCTTTCTCTATCTCTTCGTTACTTTCTGTTAAGATGGCGAGAGCAAATTGAATATCGAGAACAACGAATACGTAGTATTATACCCGAACTGTTTCAAGAACATGAACATGTCGTGCACATTGACGAACATCAAGAATCTGGAGATCAACGAGAACTACAATCCCAGCACAGATCGCAGCTCCAACACAAAAGTGAGTACATAGATATATAATAAAGACCAATATCTAATATATTTCATTTACTTTGCATGCAGTTAATTATCGTGAACTCGCACATCAACCAGCTCAACAGAATTGATGCATCCATCAATAAAATTAGCTTTACAAACTGCACGATTGACTGCATTCAGAGCAACGCGCTGGATGTGACCAACGTGAAGCAGATCAAATTCGACAACAGTCGGATCGGGACGATCGAATCGATGGCCATTCCAAACAAACTGCTCAGTGACTCAATTTCTTTCATTGGGAATCAGATCGGTATAATCAGAAGCAAGGCCATCATGGGCAGTGGAACGACAGTCTTTTCGTTGTCTAACAACACGTAAGTGTAGGACAGAGCGTTGAATGTGTCTGAAATGATATATGCTGAAGATTCTCTAAATTATTATTAAAATTGATTCATCCTTTCTCTTGCAGCATCGACCAAATAATGGACGATGGTATCATAGTGAATTGTGTGGACGTTGTGATAGTGGGCAATCGATTTAAGCATATGGGCAAGAATTGGATCATCATGGACTACTGGTCGCTTTCGATGAATGAAAACGATTTCGAAAACTTTCCGCCCATCCAGTTAAGCGGAAATCACAACCGGCGCACGAACTGTACGTTCGTCAACAATTCGATTAAGAATCCACAGCCGAATAGTCTCAACTTCGACTGTCAGGTGCGTGCCACAAGTGTGGATCATATCTGTGGCTGCGATGATTTGCAACAGTTTGTGCCTACACTAACCGAGCACGATATTGGTGCGGAACTATACTGCCAGCTGCCCGAACGGCTCACGAATTGTTTTAATGCCACCCAAATGAACATGAGACGCTATGCAAATGAGGTCTGTGTCAGGAATCAGACCGCCCTGAAATGCGTTGATGGCAGCAAATTGGAGCGTCACAAGGATGGCTTCTACACGAAGGAGGAACTTGAAGAGCGTCGCAAGGGCTACTCAATCCTCAAGATCCTAGCAATTGGTGCTGCTGTAGCTGTATCAGCTTTAGGAGCTATCGTTGTCATTATCTGGTGCTATACATGTCAAAAACGCAAGAAGAAGCAATACTGCAGCTTCACCCCCGAAAATCTGGAAAAACTGCAACAAGAAATTGACCGCGTATCAGAGAACGCCGAAAATATGAAGAGACAACTCAAGAAACTTATAAGTAGTAAGAACTCCGTCAATCAATGCCATGATCAAATTATGGAATTATTGAATCTACCGATGCTCCCAAGCGATGTAAACAATATACTCAAAAATCATCTGAAATATATCCACAATGCAAATTGGCCCACTGCTCCGGCAGTGACCAATAACGAATGTAACAGTGTTCCATTGCTATATTTTACGCCATTCGATGTAACGGAATCGCACGTGTACTCGTATCCCGTCAACACAGCCAGTAAGAATGGTTCCATTAAAACGCAATGTGAGATATATATATATATATCTGATCGATAATCAGTACTCAATATATATATGTCATATATAAATAGTTATATACAATTTAGCTACTCAAGGAGGTGCACTCCATATAATAATATTGACAATTATGTGGAATATCGGATGTGATCTGTATTGCCATTAACCATTAAACATGACTTTTCTCTCTCAGAAGTCATGTTTATAAGGTTAATAGCACGCACTTTGCCAACAATATCTTACCCAATCTTTTTTAAGTCCACTCAGTAAACTAAGGCGTGTCCACTGTTATGCAATTAAAACCGCATAGGTATAGTATAACTGTGTAGTAAATGTTGGTGCCGGTTCTGTAAATCATTAAGTCGAATATCTAACAAAATCTCGTTACTTAAATTCGCACAGCATTTATTTTCACTGTTATACTATCTCTTCTACCCAAGTTACTTATTTATTATGCTCCCATCTTTCCATTCCCATTTCATGTTTTAGTCTCCTTCGTCTCTCTGTCTCTCTCTTCCGACCTCTATTTATCCAGAGTTCAGCATACGCCTTCGAAACAGCCAGTATAGGCATAAAGCATTTATATGCATTTGATCACGAAGAGTCGAGATGATCTAGCCATTTAATATTTGTTATAGAAGTGCTCGTATACGACATGATCGTATTAAAGATAACTTATCTAGATTAAACTCGATATGTTTAGTTGTTTTCTTAAGGTCAACTTGAAAAGTTGCAGATTATGAGTTCGAACTTTCGATGCACAGTTCTCGAAAACATTTATTTAAACTACAACTTAGGAAAGAAGTGATTTGTGGACATTGGATGGAATTCTAACGATCTCTTTCGGAAATTGCACTTTGAAGAAATATTATTTAATAAATCATTTGCTACAATGCGATCATATTATATAAGCGTTTCATTAATTTATGAACATCGATTTACTTAATTTTACTCTGTCTATTTCTAGTTGATGATGAGGACGACATGCCGCCCGCTTACGCGGCCGTAGATGAGGTCGAGTATGCCATTCCCCACTGTTTGCCACTACCTCCATCCCAACAGCAACAACAGCTGCCGTCCACAAGCAATGCTACCTATGCCACGCCTGTTTTGCATCCGCCCATTCGAAAGCCACCCGTAGTGGCAACTCTGCCGCCAGAGGTGCCACAGAGACAGATGCGGGATCCCAATCAACTGATCTCGGCGCGTAATAAGAGCCAGCAGCAGCCAGCACGCCATACGAGCCACAATATTAACAACAACAGCAACAGCAATAACAACAACAATACTAGCAGCAGCAGCAGCAACGGCAGACAGCAAACCTTCCAATATTGTGATGGGGCCGCCAGCCTGGCGGCAATGGAGCATATGGATATAAGAGGCGCTGCTGCCTTACCGCCGGACACAAACTCCGACCATTCCGGCGGAAGCGATGAGACTGTCAAAATCGATGATATAGCTTACGCTGATGCATAATTATTTTCAAAAAAATAAAATAACTAAAATGAATGTGATTTAGTAAATATCTAT